CTTAGTGGCGCGACATGTGTGTCATAAAGCGCCCAGGCGCCTCAGGGCGCGCTAGCCTAGTAGTAGTAGTAGTAGTAGTAGTAGTAGTAGCAGAAGAAGCAGTAGTAGTAGTAGTAGTAGTAGTAGTAGCAGCAGCAGCAGCAGCAGCAGCAGCAGTAGTAGTAGTAGTTGGTAGAAGTAGTAGTAGTAGTAGTAGTAATAATAATAGTAGTAGTATTATTATTAGTAGTAGTACCGCTGCCGCCACCACCACCACCACCACCTCACTACCACTACCACTACTACCACTACTTCCGCTACCACTCCTACTCTTCTTGCTGAGGCGGCTATGTTTGATATTACAACAGACGCGACATTGCTCCAGCAGGGCACTGCATGGCAGCTTAGCACCTGAATGGTAGCAAAAGCAAGCGTGATGACCGACAATAAGCGCGCCTGGCAGCAAAAGAGGCGGAACAAACGAGATGTGATCGTTCATTGTTTGCATGTCAGGAAGGAGCAAGGTGCCGGGATCTGAGGATCGTGGAGTTCGTGTGGCAGTGTGGCAATCGGCACGCAGCAGTCAGTTGTCGCGCATGAGGGGAAGCCAGCGCAGCAAGCGGAGGAGAAGACCACAAGCTTTGCCCCAGATGCGCAAGTTTCGGACATGTTCACACCGGTGCTCCGACTGAGGCCTCGTGCTGACACTGCCAGTCGGGCTCCTGCAAGAAGCCTCGAGCAATCATGGGTTGTGTGATGACTGATGCTGAGCAAGGCACAGCTGTAGTGAGCTCCTCAGCCGGTCATACTTCCACATCGCTGGAGGGTGTGGAGGCACAGACGACAGAAACCATTGTACATTTTTCCACAAAATGTTTGTCTGTCAGAGCGTGGCGTGGGAGTCTTTGGCATTTCGGCCGGATGCCTGGGGGACAAGTTGCGTTATTTTGCCGAACATGAAAAAGTACCCAGGCAAGACTTGTGGCCACTGCGCTCTTACGCTCACCACCCGGAGGCCCAGAGCTGCATGCGGTTGCACCGTCTCTGTAAACGTTGACGAAGGCCATGTTCAGAGCTGTCATGAACGAATTGTATCGGTCCGGGCCGGTGGTTGGGCAGGCTTCGGGAGGTTCACGGCGAGCTTCCGTCAGTCGAGTACTTTTTTGTCCCATAAAGCTGCTGCAATTAATTTCCTGAAGCCGATGCATTTTCAGGGCCTGCAGCATGGCGAACGGCAATGCCCGTAAATCCCAAAGGCATTGATTGTCACGAAAGCCAGCTGTGTGAGCTTGCGGGAGCTGTCGTTTACCAGGTCAAAAACATGTGCAGGTCCTTATCTGGTCGTGTAGCAACAGATAAGGTGAGGGGAGGGCGGAGCCCTCACACGTTGGTGCTGTCCCTGGGAAGGGCCTTGTCATAGACAGCTTGTAACTCAGACCAAGCTCGAGTGCATGGTTGAAGGCCTGCTAAAAGCATTAAGCCCCAGCGTCAAAAACACTTGTGTTCAATACGTCCCACCCCACCCTGAAAAAAGTCGCCATGTTGCACGAAATTCGCTGGGCGATTGGCCTTCAATTCCGTGAGTGTCTGATGCTTTGCTCTTCTCTCCGGCTGTGTCGAGCAAGCCACCGGACGCGGCTGGCAACGTGGGCGGGTGCCAACTGCAGAGTTGCCTCTCCAATTTGTTCGTGCACAACCGAAGCTTGACAGTCTTCAGGATGGTCGGGCCTTGCAGTTCGAATCAGTGAGTGCGATGTGTGACTTCAGCTCTGTGTGTCGTCTTGAGTTGCCCTCGACGCTTGCAGGATATCCCGTTGATCTCAAAGTTTTTGGAGCTAACGCCGCTGACATCAATTGTTCCAGCTGTCGCGCTCCGAGTATTGCAGAGAGAGTTGGGTATTTGGAATGCTGCTGCTGTCGCACGGAAACCCTGAATGCATTTTTAAATTTTCGCCAGGCTGGGAAGCTTCTCTTGCGAGTCCTCAGGCCAAGTGCAGTCGGTGATAGAGCGTTGCACCGCCTAGGGCTTCTAGCCGAGCCTGGCAAACCTCGTCGCAATCGCAGAGCGGATCCGCCACCGCGCATGCAAAACCGAGCCAAACTTTCACTGCTTTTGATCACCTGAAAATTCGCACCAATCGCTCACCTGTTTTCTCCGCGGGATTTGACACATCGGCTGCGGGGCCCAGCCCACGCGGCTTCCCTTACTCTCATCTCCGAAAGTCCCGCGCGGATCAGAGATTTCTAGACGGTTGGGCCTGCGGCCTTTGCGGATTGAGGCATCCTCGTAGATAGAAAACTTCGACTTCCTGCTGCATGGATTCGGTTCCAGGTTCCTGCATATGTGCGACTACCGCCTAGAGGACGCATCATTGCCTGGAGATGTGGAAGCTGTCAGTCGAGCGTCGGCAGGACATATGCGCGATCTTGGCGCATGCTAGCGCCTATTTTATGGATGTGTACAGCCAATGTGCCGGAATGCAGGCGGGACATCATGTTCTGAATATTGATTTTAGGAATGATCTCAGCTCCTTTCAAAAGCTGGCACAGGCTACAGAGGTTGGGCACATTCTGGCGACGTTGATATTTATTGCTCATTGTTATGTCCAAGACGAGCCTGAATCTGAGCAAGTCCTGCAAGCCGTGCTCGCATGGACCATACGTGCAGTGATTATGCACTTGTTGGCTGTTTGGCTGTGCAGCGGCTTTTTTTTTGCCTTCTTGCATGCAGACTTCACCGAGGACTTGTCCATTGAACATATGGCAGAAGCATCTGTTCAAGAAGTGCACCGCTGGATTTCATTTTCATACTGCTTTCGATGTTGTGTTTGTATGCGGTTCACGTTATCTGCAACATCGTGCAGGTACTGTTCGTTGAAAGTGCTCAACTCAGACATCCGGAGCCATGTGCATGTCAAGTGTCCAGCTGTGGAGAGCTGCAGTCTTGAGTTGCGACTTGCAAGCATTTGTGCAGGAACCTGGGGGCCACTGTAGGTTCAAGGCTTTCCTTTTGTTCGGTAGGCAAGCTGCCCATAGAACTCCCCCTACTTGAGTTCGCGGCAAACTTTTCTAGCCTTGCCAGACTCGCCTTCGAGCAAGCGGACAATCGCAGCCACAGACGAACAGCTTGGTGCGGCTGCTGTTGCTGTGAAGGCCGAAGTGGCCGACGCCCAAGTATTGGGAGGTTCTGGAGCCATGGGTACTATCCTCACTCGCCTGCAGAGCGCCATCGATCTCGATCGCTCCGCGATCCGTGACCGACTGCATTCCAACCGGACCTGGTGGAAGCAGTCCTAGTTCAGCATGTTCCGAAGTCGACGAGGCTAGCAGACTACACGTTTCAAGTGATCCACAATCAGAAGGACCTTGGGGACTCAGCAGCACCTTTGCTTCGAGGCCGCAGATCATGCCCGTTTCTTCAGGCTCAGTCACGGCAAGTGGATGCGAGCAAACCGAGCATGATGAGAACAGCCCGTGCTGAAGCGTTTGAAGCAGCTGCACCTCCCCCCGCGAGCCCGCCGAAGAGAGCCTTCCGGCATCTCAGGATGCCGCTCCTAGGAGTAAGAAGATGAGGCGGCCTGCTGCTGTTTTGGCGTGGCTAAGGCTTGATGCTGAGCAATGCTGAGCATGAAGTGCCAACGTCCTTTCATCATAGCTTTTCCTGCGACTTATTGAGCTACTGAGCAGTTGTGACCTCTATTAAACACATCTAGCGGGTTCATATGAAATCTTGTCAAAGAATCACCTGACTTGTTTAGACTTTCGGTTTTTGCTGCTCCTCATATATTTGCTACAGGGTCGCCTGTCTTGCTGTCTTGCATGAGCTTTGGGTGCTTGCTCATCAGAGAAAAAAGCCTCGAATTTCATCCAGTCATCTTCGTCACCGGCTTAACTAGTACGTGACTTTGAGTACTGTGCCCTGGACCCTGGACCCTAGACACGTCGCAGGTGCTCAACATGGCTGTCATCCGACTCTTGGAAATCCGCAGCTGGCTGAATGCGAGAAGACAGTTGCTCATGCATCTTCTGTGGTCTCTGGTCTGTAAAGGCCGATATCGGTCTGGCGCTCAGAGCTGGGAGAGTCTTGACGCCGTCTGTGTTGCCTGTGACCACAGGCTGCGATTGCCCCAGGATGATTTGTGGAAGCGACTGCGCTGACCTTGGCGTCAGTGAGCACCTCGCCCTCGCCGTCAGCACAGAGCCTCGCGTAGCCTCAGGGAGGCCTTGGCAAGCTCGATTGCGACGTGCACGTCGATCGACACTAGCTTCGGCAGGCCGGGCGGGGGCCCGGGCCAGGCTGAGCAGTCCGGCAGTCGCCCCATCTCCACTTCGTTATGATTCGGCAGAGCCTCCCTTGAGAAAGCGCTCGGTTACGGTCCTTGGTTTCCGTTTCTGCACGTGTCTCTGTCTCACCCGTCTGCATCAGAAGGTCAGGCCTCTCGGAGCGAAACGCATTTTGCAACAGCACGCAACAAGCGGGAGCCAAATGCGCATCAGCACTGATGCTTCAAGTTGCTAGCCGTGCATCAAGGAGTGCTTGTCCCATGCTTTGCCATACGCAAGCTGGGTCTCACATCACATCGCCAATGCTCCAGATGCCGTGCTAGTTCGGGACAGGCCGCCGCCACTCTCCTCGGGCAGTCGCTCCACGACGAGTTATGGGCATGCTAATGCTCGGGAGCACCTCCAAACAAACATGTCGGAAAAGCTTTGATGCCTAGCCAGGTCCAACAGCTCCTCAAGCACAGATCGCCGGAGGTGGCACATCCCTGCAATTGCCACGGAATCAAGATGTGTGCCATGGTCCCGACCAAGCTGCTGAATGCTCGCAGCTGCCTGGATTTTGCAGGCGACGACAGGCGAGAGGGACGCGGTTATGACAGCTCTCAGAGGCTTTGCTGTACCCGCTCCTGGTAGCGTAGGTAAGCATGAGCAGAAACACTTCCTGTAGAAGAGCTTTTCGCGATAGATGTACTGTCATGCTCATCGGTCCATGAAGGGTTCGTGCCTGCAGCAGGCCAGGACGGCAGTGCATCTGAGCTGAATCAGTTTTATTAGATCTCCTTTACGAGCCTTCACGTTTCACTGGCGACAACTAGCCACAGCTGCTCTTGCAATACGAGCGGCTGTGCATCGTGAACAGCTACATGCATCATGTTAAGTTTTGGGCGATGCCCATCACCGCAGCGACGCTGTTACAAAGTTGCTGGTCGGTGACCCAGTGCAGCCTTCTTGGCCGAACACTGCGACCGCAAGCTCTGGATGAATTGCTCGTGGCTTCGCACTGTCAAAGTGCACCGATTGGTGCTGAGATATTTTTCGGGGAAGTGTGATGAAAGTGCATACCGTACTTTAGCAAGAGCTAGGACCGGTGAACGTCCGCTGGCAAGCAGCAGTTTGCACGGCAATGGTGCTTCCGGCAACCGGTCAGCGGGGGCTTCAGTGTTCGCAAGCATCGCCCGCCGTACACTTAGCCGTATCCGTGCCACTGTGCCTGCTTCATAGAACTCGAATAGCCAAGGGCAGATGTTGAGACTAAGTGACTGTGATTCCACTGCATCTCCAGGAAGATCGTGCGCGTGATTTGAGCTCTCGCTTGCAGTCAATGCCGCCGATCTGCAAGTACAAAGGCCATGACAGTGGATAGATGATGATTGATGACTCAACTTGGCCGAAGTACACGTCCATTGACACCAGTTTCGGTTTTGCAGGCTTCATACCAGCTTCCCGAGAGTTGTGCGGTGAAACCTTCACACAGCAGTGCAGGTCACTTACACCTGCCCGAACTTGGTTGTGCGTGAGCGGCCCCCAAGCAGACGAAGCGGTCCACGAAGGCCTCAGTGCTCGGGAAACACCGAGAACGGCTGGCGGGGGCACCCCGTTCGAGGAAGGATCTGTTTGGATGTTCCCGGACAAGGCAAATCCCAGCCCAGCAACAAGCGTTTGCTGGCAGGCATGGGCAAAAACGGGAGTTGGTGCAGCAGGCCTGTCGTGCTTCGGGCCGCGATCCTTCCCTGTTCCCCACTCTCTGGAGGCAGAATCGTGTGCCAGGGCAAGGGCTTGCGAGTGGACCTGCAGGATGTGCCTGTGGTGTGGCCGGGTATAGCATGCCCCCGCATCTCATTCCTTGATGAAGGAACAGCACGCTGCAGAGCAATGCCGTGCTGGGCTGGCACAATCCTAAGCAGCATCTCAGTTTTCTTTGGCGATTGTCCGTGTTGGTGTGAGATGTCACATAACATAAACACTAGGCATTCCTGTGCACATTCTGCCCTAGTTTATTCGAGTGCCTAGGATTGCGCAGTGGTGTAACATGTGTTTGTTGTGGCGCCTCGGACCCTGCTGCGCTTGAAGGCCACCATCATGTCTGCAAGGGTGCGCCTCAGTTGGTTTCTTGCACCTCGGAGAGTGCTAGAAATATGAGCTGGTGCAGGATAAGAGAGCTCCTTTTCTGTTGCGGATGCCTTAGTTTCACTTGCTATGGGTGTGGGTGGGCGACCAGCCGACATGTTCAGAAGCTGGTCCAGGTCAGGCAATCGGCAGCCTCGAAACCAGGTGCCCTGCACAGCTTGACATGCAGGCTTGTGAGCAAAGTTGCATAGCCAGCGCTCGCTGAGGCCATTCAGCTAAGCTACAATCCGGGCAGCCAAAGGAGCGTCGAATGGCTCTGCCGGCTATGCCTGCGATGATTGCCAGTGCCGGCTTGATTCTTCCGGAAGCAGCGAAGCACAGTGGACATGGGCATTTGCGCCACTCAATCTTGAACGCCATCCAGAGATCACCAGCTCTGACAGATTCTGACAGATTTTGTCCTTGGATGTGCGTTGGTTAGCTTGGTTGACCATCCAGATGTACTTTGAGCTAGCATCCCGGCATGCCAAGATGAACGTGGTGCTCGCCCGTGTTCGGAAGTGGTTGGAAATGAACTCATGAGTAGTGATGAATGATGCTTGTGATCAGAGTGGCCTTGAGGACCTGGACGTTTTTGGATTCCTGGATTTTAGTGTTTTCTCATCGGTGGGGTCTCCGCTTGTTGGATTTCGTCCTTTGGCTGTGCTAGCTGCTAGTTGTCTTCCTGCCGTCTCAACTTCGATATCTTGGATAAAGATTATAAAGTTCTGTTTCGGAAGATCTGTAGTTGCATGCGGGATATGGTGGCCGCGGGCTGTATCCCTCATCCCACATTTTGCCGCATTCTGCCGCCGCATTAAACCGACCTCGACAGCTTTTGATTCTCCTGGAAGATTCACTAGTTTCGCGCTGATGTCTAACGTTGGGAGGGTCCATCGATGTCCATCGCGATTTTCATGTGAATGTGAAGATGTGCTGTGTCAATGGGCCTCCATTACACGGCCGGTCATCCACTTGAGGCCAGCATCCACCAGCTTTTCGTCGAAATGCCCGGATGTGCTCGACTGGACGGCATGTGCACCCTGAATTCCCGACTGTTGATACTCCAGCTCTTTTGGACTACCCCCAACGGGGCCTAATTTTGATGTGTACACCTTGCATTTTTTCTGTATACCCCGATGAGAGTCTGCTTTGGGATGTAAAGTAGCGAGAGCAGAGAAAGACTGACGCAGTAGCACTACTGGCTTATACAGGCAAGGGGTTGTGCAGGCAAGGACGCTCTGGAACACGGTTTTGCGATGTTATACGATCAGATGTAGAAAATGAAGATGCGGTTTGCCGACGGCCTTTGCTGGCATCTTATAGCATCCCGCTTCGCTGCCTTTGTCCAGTGTCTGTTTGTGCACATCAGCTGATTCACAGAACATGACTGCTTATGCCTGGGGTCGACTGAAAGACGAGGGGTCCGTTGGTCGTTGTCCTGCGCAATGTCAGGGCACGAGAGCTGGACAGAGATGGCTGGAGATGCTGTGAGATGCTAAAAGGTCATGTCGGGGCATTAGCAGCATGGACCTTCGCGACTGTGGAGGACCCGAGCAGATGCGACATGCATGGAGGCATCTGGACGTGTGACTTGCACCATGTGGATAGAGACATGCACTGGCAGCCATTGGCAGGCGGCAGGCGCGGTGTCGTTTTGTCGGAGGTTTGACCAATTCCGCCAGGACGGTACCCGAGCAAAACAATGTCGGACTGTCTGCTTCACTCCTGCTACGGTCTAGTACATAAATGTTTTTGCAGACACCGCTAAGCATTTTGTCGGATGGTCCGAGCTCTCTCGCTACGCGTCTCACGCAAAGGGTGGCATGCGGTGAGGCCATTTTGGCTTAAGCGGACTCTCTTTGCAGGATTTCTGGCTCGGAGATAGAGTATCTATGCATAAAACACATGCCGAGCACAACCCGTTTTGGCAGAGGAGGGGCTAGGGCCTGGGACAACAGATCGAGGGAAAGGGCGTAAGCGTCGCACGTTGGGAGCGGATTCAGAGGCGGGCGGTTTTGCCTGTGGTAGCACCTTGTAGCATCTTGATGTGGTCTACGCTTCACTTGTTCACACAACTCTGGCACTGGTGCAAACTACACGATTTTCAACTCAACGCTGCAAGTCGCACATCCTTGGCAACGGTGTCGGCACTTTCGCTGGCGTGCAGGATGTTTGCAGTACAGTCGGCCATGCGACTCTGGACCTCGTTTCAATTTGCTTTATTAATTGTTTCATGGCTCCTTGGATCCATTGAGTTCCCTCGTGCTTGTCCAAACAAGTCTTTCCTAAGCGTCGACATAAAGAAATTTTTTGTCGACCCCCGCACTTGCAGACATCACGCTTAACAGGCGCGGGACGAATCGTGCGCATGGCAGGCATGTGACTCGTATGGGCCATGGAACGACGTTTCCCCTCATTTCCTCAGCACAGTGTGATGGGATTTGTCTGCGGCATGTCAGTTAGCTTCTTCACGGCTTGCAACTGTGTGTGTGTGCGTAGTCTTTGGACTCTACCGTCGCAGGAGAACTATCGCCGCGCAATTTTCGAGGCCATACGGAACAATGCGCCCGCCTGAGCTTTGTTCATCAGTGCAAACGAGAAACGGCTTGACTTCACGATTGTGCATGACATGTCATCCGAGGAAATGAGTGCCGGGAGGCGCTGAGTGCTTCACTCTGAGCCTAAAGGTAAAGGTTTCACTGCCTTTTCCCGAGTCTCAAACCACTGAAAGCAGTGTGAGTGTAGACTCGCAGTTCGCCCATCGCCAGAAACCTGCTGAGCAAGACATGTCGTCTTGCGGCTAGCGGCTCGTGCAGACTTGGCTGTCTGCCGAAACCTTGGAAGTCTGGGGTGCCTGGTGGGAGGCAGCCACCATGCTCAAGTAGGGAAGTGAAGGGGGAGGCCGTGTGGCCCAGCACCCATCCAGGTACATCGGTACATCGTTTGGTGCATGCTGGGGTACATGTCTGTGTGCAACCGCCGGGCACGCGGTTGCTTCGCGTTTGTCGCAAGGTCAGATCATTTGAGGCTTTTTCGTGTTTGGTGCCCGTACATGGTCCGGGCTGCTGGCTGGAAAGAGCCCCACTCCCCACTTGGACAAATCGTCATTTTGCCGCAAAGGTATCGCAGATGCCTGTCCAAACTTCAGAAATCTCGGTGCAACGCTAACAGATGGACCAGCTTTTCGAAGAGGAGAGCGTTGGGGTCCACGGGCTTCGTTGTGAGCCCGCACACGAGCTCCCACAATGCAGGGCTCCTTCCTTTGGCGGCCCAACTGGTCACTAGGCTCCGAATGTCCTCTGGGGATAGCATCTGACGAGTTTGCATTGCTTGCAACCCTGACAAAGAAAAAGTTGAGAGGCGACCCAAACCCAGAACCAGCCTAACAAGTTGGCAGTTCTGCAGAAAGACCAGTTCGTTTTTAGAGTCTTGAGCAGGTTGGCACCCACCAGTTCGGACCACACTGCGCGGGTAGTTGAAAAGAATCCAACTCCTGTTCGTGCACACTTTCACCAAGCAGACAAGTTGTCGGGCAGTGCACGTGTGCACACAGTGACAAGTTAGGCATGTGAAGGTCTTTTGTGTTTGCTCCAGTTTCGAGTAAACAAAATAGCAGCTGCTGAAGCCGTTGCTTGTCGAGCTTCCCTCCACACCCGCCCGGAGGCACTTCTGTGGACCGACCAGTTCGATTCAAGGCTTGGCTTGAGCAGGTTGGCTGCTACCAGTTCGGACCACACCATTCGGCGGGTAGTGGAAAAGAACCGAACTCCTGTTCGTGCACACTTTCACTAAGCATAGAACTTGTCCCACCTTGCAGCGGGCGTTCCTGGTATACAAAACAAAACATGGCACATGAATTTGTCACCCGAAATCCCATCACCTGGCGGGATGATTCTGAAGCTGCAGATGTTGGGAATGCCATAATATCCTGAGTCACCGTGAATCTTGCAAACACCACTGTGCGTTTCACAGATTCGAAGCTGTGACAAATTGAATTTCTGGTGAGCCTGCCATTTCCGGTGTTTCGCAGCCGCTACCCAAAAGTGCCAGCCCAAAGTGTCCAACAGGTCGAGCAGCATCTAAAACCAAGCCGTGTGCAGGTTGTTGCCAACGCCCAACACCGCATCATGAACCTTCCGCCAAGAGGTGCCCATCTACGAGTCTACGAGTCTACGAGGGAACGATTTGCAAGCTGCTTCTCCAAGGCATCTGGTACGAAGGCCGCAAAGCAACTCTAGGCGCAAGAAATAAACAAGCGTTTCAATAACTTCATTCCATCAATGTGTACCAAATTGCGCCAACACAATGAGCAAAGAACGTTAGACGGACAGGTTTGGTTGGGCATATGAGCGGCATATGAGAGCGTCGACCCAACCAGTGAAAGAGCACGGGTAGTCAGTCTAAGCTTTACATACCCACGAACAGTTCCAAGAGGATCTCCTCCCAGGACATGCACTACGCCGCAGCGGGAACCCCAGCCACTGTAGCGACACGGACACCAATTTCCGGGATGTGGCTCAGTGGCTGAATTCTGTGCGATATTTCCGCTCATGTAGGACGCGTCGGTTTCCCCAGTACTTTTCGAGCTGTCAGCACGTGACCAACTCCAAGCACATGCTCAGGCGATTCTAAAGCACAGTCATCAAGATGGCGCCTTTCCTCGACCAGTACTGGGTTCATGGTGTCTGGCATGTGCGGTAGGGTATCATGCTGGTGATGAAGCGATGCATGGATGAAGCTTCGCGATGGATTCCTTTCGTGACCTCTAGTGTTTCTATGCTCCTACCTTCAGTGACGTAGTGGCTTTTTTTCACCACCTTCCGCGTCAAGGTCGGCGCCGCAAGGAGCTCTCCCAGCGGCGGCTCAAGCCCGTCGCTGGTGTCGCAGGGCCGCACCGGCAGCCCCAACAAGGTCTGGGTGCGTGCTCGCAAAGAGGCAAGCGCCGCGATGGCAGTCCCACCTGCGATCACCTGCGCCCACGGGCTCGGTCCCGCGCGTGTGCACGAGCGAGTTGTCGGAGCCGTGTCGCCCGCCCTCCCGGCAGCGTCCGCGCCCGCCGCCTGGTGCCAAGTCGGTGCGGAGCTCGCCTTGGCTTGAAGTGCCCGCGCCGGCCTCGCGTCGTGTCGACCGCAATATGGGCACCTCGCCACAGAGCTCCCGCCACGCGGCGCTTGTGATTGTGGATGCGCACGGCGCGCTCCAGTGGGCTCTGCCAGGACTCCGTTACCCAGGTCGTGGAGGCGGCCCCGTGAGTCGAAGCCTCCGAAACAGCAGCACTTAAAATTCCTGCATCGGTGGTGGATGTTTACAATGAGCTGGGCGTCCGGAGAACGGGTAGGCTGCGGAAAGACTGCGGCACTACCGGGTTTATCGGCCAAGCGCGCTGCGCTTATGTCTAATCCCTCCTGGTTGTGCAGCTGCTCTGTTTTGAGGAAGAGTTATGCCAGTTGATAGTCTTTGCCCTGGAAGGGGTTACAAGGATTTTTCATTAGAGACTCGTCCCGAGAGAATCTGCTGGCACCCGAAGTTTGAAGGCCTCCGCGAATGCTAGGCTAGACTGACAAAAACTTCAGCTGTCCATGTTTTTTGCGTGTGAGTGGCTGAAGTTGTTTGAGGTGGCCCGGCCACCATGGCATGCCAATTCAGTGAAGGATGGAGTGGCTCGCCACTCAGCCTTACAGCTTTGCAGTCTCCCACACCCCCGCCTTTGAGTCGGTCTCGGCAGGAACACCCATGTGGCAGCTTGCCCAGGGCCGCGAGGAAACCATGAGGAAGGCAGGTTGGTGCAGGAAGACAGTCCATCACGATGTTTCGGATTTGCAACTCGGGTGGCCCTTGCAGGAAAGAGAGGCAAGAGAAGCTCAAGCCGGGGACGTGCTTGAAATTGATAACGAGGTCGCAGTGCAGCAGCTTCTGGAATGTCTCCCTTCATGCGTATGCCAGGCAGCAGGTTTTCGAAGCGTGTTGCTCCGAGATTCTGGTCTCAAGCTGAGCGAGCTCCACAATGCGGTTCAGCCGAGGTCTTGTACGTGTCGAGGATGGTTGGAGACAAGTACGATGACTCCAAGGTGCAGCCTCTGCACTGAACTGAGGGGTATCCCATGCCCTTCGTGGTATGTGAGGTTCGGGGTCCTCGGCGGAAGACGCGAGCTCAAGCCATCAAGGAGTGTTGCCACTGCACGCGGTTAATACCCTCCCTGGGCAGAGCCCTGCTCTTGCCCCTGACAGTCTGCAGGATGGCCTCAGCTTGCGAAATGCCTGCCGCGATGCTCCAAAGGCTGGAGAGCGGGACATGCAAAAGTGTAACTAATGACAGGAATAATGCATCCATCTTGTTCAGAATCTTGTCACGCTTGCAGCACGCAATCAGGATGCAAAGCTAGAAGCAGCACAGAGAAGGCTGCTGCCACGGGTTGTATTGTCCGTGCAGAAGCCCCGACCCTTGGCTAGGGTCGACCTAGATACTGCCTGCTTGTTTAGGCTGCCGCAGGGGTAGATTCTGGGTGGGCCCTCGGGTGGACCTAGCATATCCTGGCATGAAACATCAGTGTTGGGCATGCCCACCAGAATTCACCTAAGCGGAGGCAGTTCGGTGTATTCTTCGGGTTAGGAAAGCCCGAGCTGACAAATTTCATTGACTTTTGGCCATCTTTGGTTTCCCAAATCGCTCAGAAAGTAGCCAACACGATTTTCGAGCATTTTTGCATATTCTTCCGGTCTGGGGAACAATTTAGTTTGCTTCAAATATTTCAGGCTTTCACAAGGCTGCCAACACAACGACATTTTGGCTTGGAGTTCGGGATTGCCAAGCCTCATTGCCAGCTTCTGATTTGTCCTTTGGTTTTCCTAATCAAAGAAACCAACATAAGCCAGATGTAAGCATATTGGCCGTCATTGACCTGCTCTTCGAATTGGATAACCACTAAATGGCAAATCTGGCTTTCTGCACGGAAAGCCAACGGTAACTAATGCAAGCTTGGCTTAAGCTACTGTTTATGACCATGCAGCAAGTACGTGACGAGCTCTGGCACGCGCATCCCGCGCGAACCCTCGTGCGCACTCGGCACGTACCCTGCCCGCAGCTCGCTCTGCTGGTTTGAGGAACGGGCAAAGGGACCGACAACGACTAAGCCCTTCCCCCTAACACTAAACCCCCCTAGTAAAAACCTCTCGCGGCTCCGGGATTTCGCGGTTTCGGGCCCACAATCGAAAGTTAATTAAAAACATTAGGGGGGCCTAGGATTGTATTTTAAGTGAGCCAAGATTGCAGCAGTACTAATGAAACCGAAAGTACCAGAGCTTAGGGGTTTAGGTGTTTAGGGCTTGGGGCTTATGGTTTAGGGCTTGAGGGGTCAAGGTTTAGGACTTATGGCTTTAGGGTTTAGGGCTCAGGGCTTAGGGCAGGCTGACTGTCTGCTCTACAGCCGGAGCGTGCGTAGGAAACGGTCGGTTAATTACTTACTTGTCGGACTGTCTGGTTCAGTAACTACTACCGTCAATCCGACTCATACGCGGATGTGCCGAACCCCCCCAAATAGAAACACCAAACCCCGCGGAAATCAGTTTTTGAACTTGGGGGACCCGTTTAATATTAGGGGGAAGGGATTACGACCAGGGCAACCTGCACAGCCGCCAGGAGAGCACAAGAATACCAGGAAAGTACCCAGAGACTCAGAGACCACCAGCAGACAGCCAGGGGACCCCATTACACCGCGCAAAGGCAGGAGGCACGAGAAGACCACCAAGAGATCCATGGACACCCTCAATCCGCAGTGATCAGGGTTACAACCGGCAGAGTGGAGCACAAACGGAGCTCGTCTCCGGAGTGGCGCGAAACTCTGGGGACCCATTTGGTTTCATTGTTTGGACCTGCATTTTTCTATTTTCATTCTAGTAGCAAAAACCTGTTTCTCTCTGTGTATATATATATATTTTTATACATCTTTGCTTTCAAAGGAAAACGTAATTTTTTCTTTCTTTTCATTTGAATGGAAGGGAAGAAGGTATGGACAGAACGAAAGAACGACAGAACGAAAGAGAGAAGGAAAGACATGTTGAAACACATGAACTGTTCAAAGGAAGAGAGAAAGAAAAGACAAAGATAGACAGAAAGAAAGAAACAACAAACATAGGTGCAAGCGTCAATGAATATGAGCCTTTTTTGAAGCCCATCATGCGAGCATTGTCTTTGCAACTGGCGCGGGGCTGAGCCACCCAAGAACCCGCTTTTTCAGCCGTGCAAACTAGCTTCAAATCAGTCTCCATGCGAGCATTCTGTTTGCAACTTGGGCCCCCCCCCCCCAACCCGTCGCTTTTTTGAGCCGTGCAAGCTTGCTTCACAGCATATAAATCTTGTTTGAGACCCATGCGAGCATTCTCTTTGCAAACGGCAGGGCTGCGCCCCCCCAACCCCTCCGCCTTTTTAAGCCGTTCAAGCCGCTTCAATGCATGTGAGTGTTTTTGAATCCTATCATGCGAGCATTCTGTTTGCAAATGGGGGTGTTTTAAGCCGTGCAAGCTTACTTCAAAGCATGTGAGTTCCTTTTTTGAAACCCATCATGCGATCATCGTGTTTTTTGCGCCCCCCCGCACCACCCCTGACGCTCATGAACATATCGGAAAATCGATGTTATCACAGACATGAAAAAGCTGAGAAAATACAGGTTGTCCAGAGATGTACCTTTTAAAACATAAAGAAATGAGAAAGTAGGGTTTGTTTGCCTCATGAAATATCGAGAAAATAGAGGTATTCCTAAGACGATATTAGAAGATAGAGGTTTTTGCTGTTAAAAACTTGGGGCTTTGCTGACCTACAGGCAGCAGCTGCAGAAGCTGCTTGCTGTTTGTGTGGATGTAGGCCTCCGAGATCGGTTCGACGGTTTTCGCTCTTTTTTCAGTGGGGTGGTCATGCAAATTTCGCGACGTATGGCCACGCCCTGCTCCTCTAAAGTTGTTTTTACTTATATTTTATATGGCGCTTCACGAACTTCGCTTTGACCAGTGCGGTGGTATCAGGCTCTTGTAGAATCGTAGAAGACAGATCTCGTCATCTTCTGTTTGTTTCAGGATGTGCTCTACTGCGTGGCGACATCCTGTTTTATCCTAGTCGAAAGGCTGCAGGAAGCGTTGTGCACGGGCGTGTCAAGTAACATTGCCAGGCGTAGACGGCTGCCAGTCTGTGGCATTTGAACGTCGCCCGGCATAGGGTTGTAGCCAAAGTGCTCCTATCCCAACCGACGCTTCGGTTTTTGATTTTGATAGAAGACAGATCTGGCAATCTTCGCCTTGTTGATGTTGTGTCAGATACCCTCCCCCGCAGCGACAAACCTCTTCAGAAGGTTGCACGTGTGCTGGCGCAATTTGAAGTGAGCTTCGCGATGTGTTTCGGCAATTGTTGATTTTTTTGGTTTTCCCGATTTTCCGGTGTGGCGAAAATTTTAAACCTCCGAGATCAAAAGTGGCGTAGGGTTTCGGGGAAAGGGTTTGCCTTATCCTCGCTTTTGCTCCGTACTATAAGCCTACCCCAGCTGCCCTGCTGCCCGCAGGCCTGCCCTACTGTAGCCCGAGCCTCCGTTTGGGGACCCTGTTAGGCCTTGTCGATAGGTTTACCCTAGGCCAGGGCGCGGGGCTTCTATATCCTGGTGGCATGCCTTCATCAAGACATGTGAGAAACAATTTGGTGTGGAGGTCCGTAGAGTTGATGTATACGTTCTGGAAGCCAGAGGCGCGAGACCCGCATCTTGCAGCATGGCACACGTGGACAAGCTTCAAGCTGCCAGGAGCTTCCCAAAGAGGACTTTGACTTCGAAGAGTCGGTGGAAAAGCCAATGAGGCCCAGCAATGTCTTGTGCGGCGGCTCATAGGAGAGTGCTACAGATCCGAACATGTGGCCACACACTGTTGCGGTCGATCGCTTGTCACCTTCTGCCCGCTTTTCATCACGATGGGGCGGCATTCGGGTGCTGCTCATCATCAGCGCCAGGTATACCATCTGCACAGCTTAACACAATTCTTGTTTCAGCATTTGTTGCTTGTTTTGCCCCGCAGCCCTGAATCACCCCCCCGCCAAAACGGAGTTTGTTTGGTTTGGGGTTGAGGTTAAGAGTTCTCGACATAGTTGGGGTTTGAGGTCTGGCTAGACTTGAGCCCAGTCAGACAAGTAAGCGAGGCCAAGCATTGCTGCAGTTACACAAGCGGTGCGTGTTTCATGTTTTCAGAACAATATCTTACAGATGGGAGCTGGCGATATGCCTGTATCATGTTTTACCACATCCACAGCGAATGCCGATTTGTCCTTTTACAGCGTTTCGCGTTTAGCTGCCTGCAGCGGTGGGATGCCGGGCGGGCATGGCCGGGGAAGAAGTCGCGCCGTAGCATTATGCCCCCATCTCCAAACCTATAAGTTGGACCCTATATTCTGCATAAATCTCCAAATGAGCTCAAACAGTATGATTAAGCATGCTCTCCACGTGTGAGCCCCGAAACTTCGAATCCAAATTTCAAAAACTTGTGCTGTGGGCTTGGCCGGAGCCTGCCATCGCTTGCGAAAAAGACTTTATCTCGATCCCTTGAGCCTTTGCTTGAAGGGAGTTTCCACACAAAAGATGTTGTCTTGCTTGACACACGAGGGCAACACCTGCAGCATATATTGTGGTGTCAGTGTTTCCAGTTCGGGTCGGCCAGCTTGAACTGAAAAAGCTTGCATCACTTGTCTTTTTATGACAGGTAAGTGTATGTATGTGTACACCTATATATATATATAATATGTAACATACTAACAAATAGATAAATAATTGTGAATATATATATATACACACATACTTACTGAAGGATCCCTTCCTTTGCCAACAACTTCGTGGTTCCGCGCGGTAGTGGTCGCTGAATTAAGTGGTTGTGTGAGACCTGTGGCGGGCTTGAGTTCTCCTTCTATTCTATGGAGCATTGCATACTGTCTTGCCTCATTTTCTTGCTCGTTTTCTCATGCTACATGGAGACCTGTTCGTGGTGCAACTGCTATGTCCCTCTACTGTCGTGTCACCACATAGCCCGCTACTATGCGCACACACTCAGGCTTGGCAAGAACTGATGCGAAGAATCACGAGCTGCCTAATGCTGGAAGCAACAGCGTTTTGGGGTAATTTGGGCTGGCCATTCTGCAGGTACACACAGCTGATCAGGCTGTGCATCCACTGACTTGCCGTAGCTTCGTTGGACCGGATAGGCAAGTCAGCTCCTGTCTCCCTGCAACTGCACTGAAATAGAAGCAGGCTGCCGAATCATGAATTATCACCATGTCCAGGTGTTTTCACACACACATGCCCCTTATTGGGGCTATCGCCATTCTGCCGAATGCCATGACATGTGAAAAAACCACTATGTGGAAAGCTCTGAGCAGAATGGCATGCTTTCCGAAGAGAGCATCGCAAATCGAATTAAATGGAAGGCCCCGCAATCCGGGCTGCTGCACGCTGCCTTACGGGAGTCTGTGATCTTCTTCGCTTACATGTGGGGCTCACCGGCACTTCTGCAGAAGAAGGCGATGGGAAAGGCTTCGCCGGTACTCTTTCTTCAGGAGCCGACTGGGAAGGCGTTTTTTCCTGTCTTTTGCTGCAAGCCATTGGTGATTCACTGGGAACCACTGCCACCACCAGGATCGACCGTCTGGGCGCCACGCCCACTTCCACGCCGCCGGAATGGGGGAGCGGCTCCTGCTACGATCCGACATGGCAATGAGGTTCTTTCCGCAAGGAACCGGCTGCACGAATACATGATACTGCTGGATGCACAACGAACAGAACTCACGGTCAAGATTCTTTCAACAATGCAAAAGGGCAGGTGACGGCTGTAGTCTCAGATCTTTACGAAGTAGCAAATAAAAGCTGTTCCTCAAGCTGTTGAACTCTTTGCTTGAGCTCAGAGATCATTTCACTGTGGTGATCTCGATGCTACCTTGCCAAACGCTCACTGCAGGGCCTCCTTAGTGGCCCTTTGTCTTCGTCGTCCTCGAGACACCCGTGAAACTTGCTAATGTTCTTTAAGGTCCACTGTGTACACGGTGTCCAGTTCAACACCGTGACTTTGACGATAAAACTCTCTTGGTGATTATCCAGGCTTGCCGAAATGGAGTGGTAGAAATGCTCGTAAAGAAACCACTGAGGTCCTGGTTGCGGCAGTGTGTGGCTTCATCAGAAGAGTTCTAAAAGAAAGCCTGGACCCCAGCAATGAGGTCGTACACGCTTTCTTTGGCGAATGACTGCGGGAAGGCCAGCTGGGTGAGGCGATGCAAAAGCCGAGCAGTGGCTTCAAGCAAAGGTTTTAAAAAGGCATCAGCGAAAGAGACTATCGGACGTCCGGAGGCGAATTGTTTCTTCCTCTGGGGAAGAATGTATGCAATAGGACCATTCAATAGGAGTACGAAATTGTTTTCTGAATGCCCATGGATATCTGCGACCCAGGGCTGTAATTGCAAGTTTCTGAACCTGACCAAGTTGTTGTCCAAATGAAGCAACAGTTTCCTTGAAAATGTCTGGGTTTTCAAAGGTGCCGGTCAAGGCTTGATGATAAAGACAAGGGCAGTAGCACACTGCCTGTCTGCCACGATGATCTTCACAATGCCAAATGGCTGCTTTTGTCTTGGTGCGAATGCTACTGATGGCCTCTGCTTCTGATGGCCTCAGCCCGGTACCTGCCTTGAGCTTCTTTTTGGTGTTGGGCATAGGCATATGTGAAGACCTGTTTGAGGCCTGGGGTGGTTCCAGGCAAATCGTTGGCACAGCGCCAGTTTTGCCAAGATTGACTGAACTGTTCAAACATCTGCTCTGGCTCAGGAAAAAAGGCGTTGGCCATGGATCCATTAAGAATGTCCTTTTCGACAGTGCTGAAAGCAGAAGTGGTGAAATCTTCTGCTGTGGCAGCAATGTGTCCTTGGAACACTGGAGCGTCAGGCGCCCATTGTCGAAGTTGTTCGCAGCAGCAGGACGGTGGGTGTTTGGCAGCTCATGCGCGAAGGGCATCCTTATGGTCGAAGAGCAACTGAGAGACGTGAGGATGTTTTGCGAAAGATACGCTAGTCTTTGGCACATGGAAAGGCGTGACAGCCTTGATGCTTTGCGTAATGTATGCCCGCATACAAGCACATAGTTGGTGCCGGTACGATGCATGCGCCATGAACGGTGCGCGAAGCGGCCTATTTTCCCTAGGGGACCCAAAACCCTTAAATTCTACAGCAAGTGAAATTGTGCGCACAGCCTGCGGCGACATGTACGCGGGCAGATGCCTGGCCATGCGGTGCAGGGCACACAGGGCAGGGTAGGAAAACTCACAGCTGGGAAGTCTCTTGCTGGCTTTAAAGTGTGCTGCAGTATTGCTGCCGAGCTGGGTCAACAGGACCCAGGTGGCTTCACGAGTGCGAAAGGTGGGATTGTCAAAAATTGCGTTCAAGGGCAAAGGCAGTCCATGCGAGGACTGTGCAAGCAAAGGTTTTCTGCGTCGTTTGCGCCGAATGCGTTCAAAACCTACATGCTTGGCTTGGGAGGCACTGGGAGGCTTAATGATGCCTGTTTTGGGGAAAAACCACCGAGCTATGAAAGGAAAGTTGAGCGGGGTCTGAATCATGGCTTGTTCGTTGGAGGGAACTGCGAAGGAGATGGGTGCGGCCACCCACTGACAGAAAGTCGAGTCTCTGGCCCAGCACCGCAAGCGCAATTCGGCGGACACAAGCTTGTCCTGCACAACTTGTTTGAATTTCCGATACCTCGAGGCTTCACGGGAGGAGGTGCAGCCTTCAGTGCTGCCCACATAGTAGAGCTTAGCGGCGTAATGCTAAAGAGGGCAGAAGCGCAAGTACAGCACAGACTCGCGGCAAAATTGCGCAAAGGTTGGGAACCCCGGCTGGAGTCCGACCAGCACATGCAAATCTGATGGACTTGTGCGTACTTCATCCAATGCCAAACGAGCAACGCAAAACTGTGCAAGACGAAAGAGTTGAAAGAAAGTCCATATGCAAAATAGTTGGTGCGAGTTCCTGCAAAAGTTTCCAAAAAGGGATTGGGCAGCACGGCGAGTTTGTCGAATGTGCTGCCGGCCGGTGCGTCCCGGCGGAGGTGTTCGTAATCACCTCTCCATAAAAGAAGCAACTGCCATGATCCTGGCAAGCGCTGTATTCTGTTACTTCGGCTTAACACTAACGGGAATGCCCCAAACCACCCCAATGCGATGCATTTTGGAATGTGATGGTTTTATCCTCATCATCCAAAGTGTTGGCATAATGCTCAACTTCGAAGAGCCACTCGTCTAGCTCGCTTTTCTTGCGATCATTGATGCTCTCCGGCTGAGGAGGTTGCTGCACAGGCCCATTGCTGTTGGGGCTGAAAGACAAAGGCAATTGGCGCAGAGGGTTGCCGGGGGTGGCAAGCGGGACTTTGGCACTGGAGTTCTCAGCGGATCCCGGTGGGGAATGCGGAGCCCGGTGGTCACAGGGGGGCCAGGAGTTGTTGGGGAAGCAGCGGGTCAAGGCTTAGCTGAACCTGTGGCGTCCTTCTGCTGCAGTTTTTGTTGCAGTTCACAGAGCTGAAGCTCGAGTTCTCTGATGCGATCATGAGACTCGGCATCTATCTGCGCAGGAATGAGCTTCTGAAGTTCAGCAACAAGATGCTGAGCAAGAGCCTTGGTTGCAATGTTCTTTGCTGGAGAGTTTTGAGTCTGAACCGCCAAGTTAATGGCAGCAGCATCGATGTCAACATTAAGGTGGTGAATCTGAGCAAGCAGCTCGCCCACCAGCACCATTTCAGGTTTGGCGCGAGCAACACAAAAGTAAGCTTCTTTGCCATGTGCAATCCATCTTATAACCAATAGCTATTCCAGTTCTGAAACAAGAACATGGAAGGATGCAAAGACTTGACTTCCAGGCCTGCGAGGCCTCGTTCCTTTGCCCACGCGGTTGATGCTATGTGCCCAGGCAATGTGAGGTTGCCGATGCTGCGGCGGTTATCGAGAAAGTCAGGGTCTGCGACCCAGTCTTCGGGGAGGCCAGGCGGTTGAGGGGTGGTAAGCGTAGGGCCACTTGGCACCGCTGTGACGGTACTTGCTTTGCTTGCCGCAGGGCCGACCCGTGACGATGAAAAAGCGGCCTGCGCTGATGCAGCAGGAGTGGTGGAGGGTAGAAGACGTCCTGGGGTCGGGAAAGGCCTTGGAAAGACTGCTCTGGCTGGCCTGGCATGAAACCTAGGTTAGCTGCGGGCTGTTATGATGTGGGCCGGTGCCCCGAAAGGCCAGTGCCGAAAAGCAGACGCAGAAAATGGTAGCGGCGGAGGTGGAGGCACTGGTGGAAAACTGCTGTGCCCGGCTCCTTTTCCTCCCATCATGCTGCAAGGAGCACCTGATCTGATCGGTGGTGTGCCGCTGCGATCCATGTTGTGAAACAAAAGAAGGGAATTGCTCAATACACACAAGCTCCACACAAGGCTGCGGAGAAAAATGCATTCTGCCGAATAGGGGAATGTCAACATGCTCATGCCTCAACAAGAGATACAGAAATGGCAACGAGGGCTGTTGTTGTGCGAGGAGAACATTCGCAGCGGCAATGGTACAATCGCAGCCTTGATATGGGCGTGTCCTGAATGCAAAGCCCACCCAGTGGGAGTTCTGACTACACCCCTTCTGTAGGTGAGACGTGCCTCCTCAGTAGTGTCGCTCCAGGTTATCTTAGCATGAACTTTGGCAGTGCGAACAATGCCGGCGATGAGGACGCCCTGAAACCCTTCGATATGCGAAGCTGGCGATCCACTGCCTGCTTCAGCTTATTGAGGTCCAGGTCCCCCAATGCACACTGACCGTGAAAGCAGAAAGCAGGGAAGGAGGCCAGCATGGCTGGCTCCTGGCATATGCGGTCTGATAACCATCTCGCAGAGGACGCTGGTGCTGGCAGGGATTTCAGTGCCATGCACAAACACATAGCTGTGAGTGTTGTCTTGAGACTGGCCTTCTTCCACCACGAAGGCAGGGGCGCTAGGAGTGCACATTGGGAAGCAGATACAGTACAAGGCCTCGCAACCTTTGAAATCCAAAATCAACAGGTTACACTTTTAGAAGCAAACAAACATGCAAAACATGCTCACTCAGCGGCTGCACAGACATGTTCGCAAACCCTCACGGCCTCAAACCTGCCTGCGTCATCCTGCGTCGAGACACCTGCGACCCTTCTGAAGTAAACCAGCAAACGCATCGTTGAACACCAGGCGTCGACCCTGGCTCCAGTTCCGGAATGAATAAAGTGATGGCATCGGAAAGCTTCGGCAAATGATCCTAAAACACATGGTGATGATTGACTCAATGACGTTGGCGTCTAGTCGGCGTCCCACATCCGCTAACGCGGGCTCCGGCGTTGCCGGCTGTGATCTGGCCCCATGTCGGGAGATGCCAGAACAAACATACTCAGGCTTGGCAAGAACTGATGCGAAGAATCACGAGCTGCCTAGTGCCGGATCAGATTACAGCAACCGTACAGATTCATTAAGGCGAATGACAGAAGCAACAGCGTTTTGGGGTAATTTGGGGTGGCCATTCTGCAGGTACACACAGCTGATCAGGCTGTGCATCCACTGACTTGCCGTAGCTTCGTTGGACAGGATAGGCAAGTCAGCCGCACTCACCCACACTCACTCTCACGCACACACAGAGACACACAACTTGCAACCGCTACCTCAAATCGGCATAGCAGAAAAGCAGGATGATTGGGCGCTGCTTGTGAAGTCGTGGTAGTTTCGGTAGTTCTAGTTCTCGCATGGCTTCGTAGGTACGCGCCCATAACGAATTTGCAATGCTACAGGATTTTATCATAAGTTAGTTCGGGCACTTGAACCTTCGGTCTTCTTCAGCCAGCGGCTCAGAACTCGACACAGAACTCGACATTTCACCCAGCCCGCCCACCCGGGGCGATCATACCTTTGCCTTGGCATATCTTGCCTTTGCGGGAAAACAGATTCCGCAGCCGCAGCTCTTCATTCAAGTAGGGCTAACGCCGTGTTTTGTGTCGCGGCTGACAGTTGACTGAGTCTGAGAGAGGTGCACAGTGATCCCCCGCAAGCCCCATGAACCATGGGGGGCCCTATGGGCCGGGGCTCGTGACTGACCCCTTTAACCGGAAAGAAGAAGAAGAGCCATTTGGCTCCCGACCCCGTCCTCCTCGTGCGGGGGGGGAACGCGGAGACGGCCCCGGAGGGTCTTCTCTGTCCTTTTGGCGGGGGGACGTTCTCCTGAGAGGGGGAGGCTTGAGACCACACGTTGCAACATCTCTGCTCACGAGGGCCCAAGGGCATCAAAGAAGTGCCCATGGAGAAACTCGCGCAGACGCTGACCCTGCACTTCCCTGTAACGTGCGACCGAACGCAGACGGGTCCGTACCTGACCACTGGGTGAGGGACATCATGGACGGCTTGACTGAGCAAGTGGCAAGGACACCACGAATGAGAAGTGCACCCACACGGTGAACAAACCCCCACGGAGGAACCTCCTCCAACGAAAGACCAGGTCTCAAGAACTCGCAAGCCCGGACAATGGGGTCAAGACTTGTCCGCGGTGTTTGGTTGGACCAGGCAAACCAGAAGACAACAGGGCAAGGGGCACTCCCAGGAGCAGGAGCACAAGTGAGGGGCAGCGACGCGGCAAGTGATAGCTCGGAAGTTATGTTGCAAGCAGTGCACAGGAACCAGGGGGACAACCCTTCTCCAAGAAGCGTCTCACACGGATACACTATGATGGCCAAAGGCCAACTTTCTGACACCTATCCTAGCATCAAAAGAGATAGAACCAGAGGGACCAGCCTTGGGCGGGGAACTCACAATTTGTGCCTGGGAACCTTACTTTCCCAGCTACCTTGACCAACACCTTGGCGTGCCACAGCGGCCAGCAGAAGGCTGGCGGGGTCGTTAATTTAAGCACGTTTTTGCATTTCCCGAGGCACCCGATTTGATGAAGGGCACTCAGCCCGCATCCCGACTTCTGCACGGCCGAGTAGCTCGGGGCACTTGAATTGTTGCGATGATATCTGTTTGCTTTGTAGGCTTGCTGTTATGTGTTGTGGTGGTTTCGGTGCCTGAGCTTTGTTTACGAAGGGCACGAGCTCAAAGGACGCAACTGGTAGCAAAACTTGCCCCCACTGAGAGGCACGCCCATTCCCTTCGCTTCATCCGAACGGCCAGTCAGTTATACAGCTGAGCCCATCCCAACAAAATGTTGGATGGGGTAGCGCGACAGCGGGGGCTGCAAGGACTGCTCGCAGCTCAAACCCCAAGCAAAGCAAAGCGAGTGAGAGAGAGAGAGAGAGAGTTCAAACAGACCGGAGCGCGCCGAGTTGGGTAGGCCTTCGGGAACCCCAAGCAAGCAAGCAAGCAAGATCGTGTGTGGATTTTCGTTTCGTTTGTTATGAGGCAGCCTTGTTATAGCTTTTCTTTTCCGAAGCTGGGTCGTGAATGCAAGGGCCCCAAGGAACCGTCTGGTGTGTTGGACTGCTTTGGTTCATGTCTGCAGGGCTTTGTGACTGACTCGTCTTCATGCCGCCGCCTGTAGTTTTGTTCAACAAAGCAGTGGCAGTGTCTAGCAGATGCATAGTGAGGACAGCATTATCGAAATGATTGAAGACAGGCGGCAGTGTCAATCTGGACTTGAGATGTGGGTGTGTTCTCTTCGGTCCGTCTGCAGGCTGCGCTTGGCAAGAAAGCCGCGCGGAAACGGTTGGCAGCGAGTCGGTGACAAGGCCTGGTGTTTACTGCTGCCATTGGATCCCATGGGAAGTAGGCAATGCTTACGGCTTACGAAAGCGAACATGATGCATGGTACACTGTGCTAGCTGTTAGGCAGAACTGAAACTGGCTGTCGTTGGTGCTGTGCCGTTGCAGCCCCTTGGTTCCGGAAGCGATGTTCGTACGTCGCACGTTGCAGCTTCGAGGGAGGCGGCGATTTTCACAAACCTTAAGCAGATGGCAGCACTTCCTCGACGAGCTGGATGGGCAGGTTGCCAACGATGGCTTTCCCGCGTCTGAGCCGCAACATTTCTCTGTGGTGCAATGGTGTGCAAGAAGCTCGGTAGGAACACAGCCCAAAGACTTTCAATTTTGCGTCCCGATTTAAGCGCCCGTGCAGGATCTTCCGAGTTGCAGCCGGGCAGTGCAGTCGTGTGGCAGAGCCAAGAGATGGGATTATGCACTGCAGCTGCTGTCGTCTGTTCAAGACAGAATAGACTCGATGTTCTGCACGACCGTGATCGGAGCATGCAGGCATGCGGCAGCATGGGAACCAGCCTTGGCCATGTTGCATCAACTAGAGACGGGTGCTTTCGGCATTCAGCCAACAGTGCACCATTACGGCGCGGTCGCTAGCTGCCTGGAGTTTGTCAAAAACTGGGAAAAGGCCTTGGCCTTGATGCGATCCTTGCAGTCCCGTGGACTGATGCCCAGTGTGCAGTTTTGTGGGGCCATTATAACTGCGTGTGAGAAGTCCTGTCAGTGGGAGCGGGCCCTTTCGCTTCTCAGACGCATGGGCGAATTGTCCGCAGGTCCCGATGTTATGGCTTTTAACACGTCTATAGCAGCTTGCGGAAAGGGTCGGCGATGGAAAGATGCCGTGTTGCTGTTGGCAGAGATGTCATCGTCGGAACTGTTACCGTCTGTGGTTACTAATAGCATTGCCTGGCGCTCAGCCTCGTCTGAGTTTTGCTTTTGGTTTGTCATGGTTTGTCCAAGCAAGCATCAGGTCCTTTGCTTCACACGGTTCAAGTGAGGTCATGAGTGCTCTGGAGAGATCTAGGCAGTGGATGCTGGCCGTTATGATCATGGATGGAATCCTTGCACGCGGATTGGAAGCCGACTACATCACATGGAATTCGGTTATCAGTGCATGTGAGTCGGGCTCGCAGTGGGCACAGGCACTGCGCATGTTGCACAGAGCCCGCTTGTGTTTCGTTGCGGACCCGAGTGGCATGCCGCAGAAGCTGAAGCGTGGCACGAATTCGGTCATAAGCGCCTGTGGTAAAGCAAGCCGATGGCCTTTGGGAGTCCAACTTCTGCGCATGATGCGAGAGGATGGACCTGATGGAACCCAGGACCATGTCAAGCAGCCGGCCATGGACATGGACATTCTCTGCTTCAATTCTTTGCTGCTTCATATGAATGGTGCCCACTGGAAGACTGCAGCGTGCCTGCTGCAAGAGATGGTCCTTCTCAAGCTTTCAGCGGATTTGACGACGTACAGGGGTTGTACTATTGCTTTCCAGGAAGGCGCCTGCCACAGTAGATTCTATTATCAAATCGCCCAGTCTGCTGTTGAACTTCCCCGCGCTCTTCGCAGTGTCGAAAGATTCCGGCAGGAGGAGCATGCCATTGAAGTGGCGCTGACTGCGAGTCGGCTGAGAGGGCTACACTGCTTGCCCCTTCAGGCAGATCGGATCATCCAACGCGTCGTCGAGGCCCCGGCCAGGGCCTCCTTGTCGCTCCTTTCGCTCCGGTCTGCTACATGGCCACCCAAGACTCGTTTTTTTGCCTTGCTCGACGTGCAAAGATCCCATCTATTAGTTGGCGCTCTCTGTGTGTGTGTGTGTGTAGAAATTGGAGAGTAAGGATCGACATCTTGCGACATGTCCTCCTCAACAACGTGTGCATGACAAAGTGCTTGGAACCTGCAGCAGTATTGGTCCAGATTTTGTGCGCTACTGCTTGGAAGCTGGACGCGTGATTGTATTGCAAAGACATTCGCTTCGTTGATGAAGGAGTGCAATACAATAGAACCCTGGCGTTTGTTTCCCTGTCTTGGGACTACCCATACCCCTGAAGCGGGTGTGGATGCAGAATGTGCTGACACTCATTGGCGCTGCCCTTCGCATGTCCAGCTGCCTTTGGACCTGAAGATTCAAGATTCGCACATGCTCGCAGCAGGAGTTACAGAATGCCGGAACAAGACTTTCGGGATGCCCTGTTTGGAGTGTCGCAGCTGCGATTCTTGTTGGGTGCACAGGGCCGAAGGCTTGCAATCCTGACTCGTGAGCAAGAGCCAGATAATTTACGTCAGTTGCAGCTTTTTGATCCAGCTTCCCTTTGCTTGACCCCTTGAGGGTTTGGGCGGCCGTGGATAGTCCATTTTCCGAAATTGTAGTCAGAAGTTCCACTAGGCACCACATTCTACCTCAGAAGCCCGGCCCAGCCCCAAAGCCGTAGCAACGCAGGTGACCACCCAAACCGTTTTTGTGGGGCCATACGCAGTCCAGAATTTTCACTTTCATTCAGTGCAGGGTGCAGGCCTTTGCTTGTGCTGCAAGTCTATTTGCGGGCTGCTGTAGACAGCAGCTAAACGCAAGAGCTGGGCTGCAATCAGAGAGACATTTCGTCACTCACCGTGCATATTGGCAGGAAAGGGGACGACTGTGGTTAGGTACTCGTTGCACCAGCAGCACGAAACATAGCCTGTAGAGTTGCATCATCTCAAAAAATCCCACATACGGCACATACGTGCTTGTTTGCAGGAGTTCTTCAGACACTGCAGCGCTCCAATGGCTTTTGATCCGGTGAAGGGCCGCTACTTGAAGATAGATGCCGAAACAAACTCGCGTCTCGGCGCACAAAGCCTTCTGTTTTCCGACTTTGCAGCAGGTTGAGGTTGTCGTATGGGCTTCCAGTGCAAACATGCCGCACAAGCAGGTATATCGATTGTGATGTTCCTCACGACCCCATCGAGTACTCGGTGTCGGTGAGCGTCGGTGCTTCGTTGGTTGGACAAACTGACGAGGCCAGAGGGCATCTTGGAGCGAAGGTAACTGGTGGCCGCATTTCGTGCGCGTTTTCAGGATCTCAATGCGCCGGACAGGCCCAGAACCATGCTGCTCAAGGCTGTAGCTAAGTGCCATGTTGACAGAATGACTTGCAGAAGACTTGCAGAGCATGCAGGAATTGGTCAAGACTGGTGCTGCCATGAAGACTCCGTTGTTCTTCCTGGACCAGAAACTTGGCCCAATGAGCATGCAAGATGCCACTAACACATAGGTCAGCAGAACGTGTTTCCAGGCCAAGTCTTCGTTTGCAATGGTCCCACGCAGCTAGCCGTTCCGGTTTCTTTTGACTGCTTTTTGCTTTACCAGCTTGTTGTTCATGTAGCCTACAACAATGCAACCCTTGCGTCACCTTGCAAAGGTAGAGTAGCAGCAACCTAAACTCGCGGCCTGTTTGGGATGAGGCGTGACAGGGTGCTCCAGCCCAGTCCCGCCTAAGAAGAAGTTTCAGAGCAAGCTCTGTAAGCCAGTGTGTTTCTGCTCTCCCGGACATCTCCCGGACATCTCGTGCATAGACACGCAAGGACTCCACAAAAGTCCGAAAAATGAAGGTGAGAAAAGGCAGCCGAGAAGGCGGATGTCAAGAGCGGACCACGACCAGACGCTGCAGATATCGGGGCCTGCCAACTCGAAGAAGAAGTTTGTGGGCAACAGAAACCAATGCTTTGTAACTTCATAAGTAGGCGAAAGCTTCTGTGCGACAGGTTCGGCCCAAGCCGAAGCCGATCAATAGCATACCGACCATGCCTAGTTTGCAGCATTTCGCCGTACTGTCGTCTGGCCACTGGAAGCACTCGAAGTTTGGTGATGCGCGAATGCCCAGCGGAGCCATAGCTGGGCCTAACGACTTGCAATACGCAGAAAAGGCAGCGAAAGGACAGCACGGACATCTCACGACTTACTGAAACTGCGAACCTTGCTGAGATGAGGCCGGCGGCGTGTTTTGCAATGTTTGACGGGGTGCGTGGTTGGGACCTTACCAGGGAAAAACTGCTGTGCTGTCCCGCTTAAAGTACTGGCTTGAGGTGGGGCAGCTGTGGAGTGGTGTTCGAAACATTTGCACACCAAGCTCCTCCCGCAACTGAGCGCTCGGAGCTCATGCAATTTTCCAGGGGTGCCGTTGACCGTGAGCCTTGCTCTAGTGTGCTGGTTCAGGCGTCGATCACCTACTGGCATGATGCGGACCTGAGGTTGGCTTGAGCTCAGCCCTGCAAACTTCGACCAAGGAATTTTCATGCCTGCTCTGGTCCAGGGGGCTCCTTCGGTCGATACTGTCGGAGTTGGATGCAGTTGCCTCGCGCATTTTCGGAGTTGATAGCGACCTTGCTTGACTGCGGACATTGTTTGAGGTCCAGCTTGTGCAGCAGGCCGGTTGCTGCTGGGAAGGTGTTTCCATCGCAGTGGCTCCTGTCTCAGTGCAAAGCAAGTCTCATGGTGAACTCATGGTGGGGTTGTTTGCCGTTTCAGCAATTCTGAGGCTTTGCTGCTCGGAGATCGCTTAGTCGTTACGGCCTCAAGATCACTTGTATAATTGTTTCCGACACGTCGCTCCACTTCAATCCAAAGTGTGCGACAGGTAGCAAGTTTGGGTGGAACCCACGCCTTGGTCGCATGCTCGACTGAATTGGATTGTCACCGATCAGCATAGCGAACCCAAGTCATTTCCCGTTTGGGCAGGTTGCTGCCCCAGACGGTCGCTGGCGGTCTCTGGATGGGAGACATGTAGCATCTTCGGCAGAGGAGCAAGCTCGCAGCAAGGTGCACATCAAAGAATAGCGAAATGTCCCATGATGGGCCAGATGGTGTGTTACAGGCGCTTGGTGCCGAGATTGTCGGAGAAGAAAAAGGTAAAGGAGTCGTCGGTGCCCCTTTTGTCGGGATGCCCAGTGGATACCCAGCAGTCCCGAACCACACACGGCATAAACTAACGAAGTTTCATGCGAGTGAAGGTGCAAAAGGCGGTGAAGGCAAGAGACTGGCAAGTGGTTGAAGATGCCACTGCAGAAGAGGAGGTCCAGCTGGCGTATTGCATATATAGCTGGTCGGAGTTCGAACGTTTATGTGTCGGCATGTGGCAAGGTCGCGAGAGTTCTCGACCGGACATCGGACTGTTTCGCTACTTTGGGTCTCGGACCAGAGGCGTAGCCGCGTGGGTTAGAGTACTGATGCAATTTGCTTTGCAGTTGTGCATCACGGCTGGGTGTGAAGATGTATGAAGGACAAGATCGACGGCAAGGCAGCTCGCTCGTGCTACAAAAAGCTGGCCCTCAAGGTGCTTTGACGTGCTTTGCACGCTAGCTGCGTGGCCCGGATCCTTTCCGTGCCTAAACGAGATGTCTGTTAGCGCTACTAGTAGCATCCATTGCAGGGCCTCTGTTCTCGAGAAATGGTGGCAGGGAGAGGAGGGGAGAGGGGTTGGCAGGATGTGCAGAGTTTACAGTGTGTCAGGTGCCAGCAGTGGACCCAGGCAAATCCCGAATCAAGTTTGATCCCTGGGTGGCTTTACAACGAAGAACTTATGGCCAGGCGGTGTGGTTCAACCATGAAAGTCCACATGGTCGAGACGGGGAAAGGGATGCGCACGTGCTGACACCCGAAACTAACTATTCTAGAACCTGTTGCAAGAGCTCGTGCGATTTGGGGGAGAACAGACCAGCTGCCGGCGTGCACAAAAAGGCCGAAATCCGCGACAGTTAATCCGGTGAGAGCACGTGCAGAAGTGTCCGAACATCATCACATTCAGCGCCAAGATCTGGGGAGAGCAGGGAGCACATACTGTATCAGCCGTCGAGTAGGACAGCTGCAGGAAGTCACGATGCCAACAGGTTAGATTGCCACTGTCGATGGCAGCCTCGTACCGCAAGCACACCTGGACATCATTGACAGTCATGCGCGCGTAAGAATGTTGTAGCACAGTTCCCATCGCTTGTCTGGTGATTCCATGATTCGCCCAGGTGCATCCAGACAAAGCTCCGGAGGAGCTTAAGGCAATTCTCTGTCCACTCATCCGTTTCGTGAGTAGGTAGAAATTTCAGAAAGCACAGGCACGAGCCAAAGCGGCTTTCGAAAAAGTGGAGAAAGCAGCTGCAGACGTTGAAGTGCGTGGCCAAGCTGCCTCCTTGCCATTATGTTTGCTCTACTGCTATTGAAGACGCAGGCATTCTGCGAAACAGATGTGGAGGCGACCGAATGCCTCCATCGCATCCTCCATGCTGCCTGCGGCTGAGAAGCCCGTGCAACGCCACGAAATCAATATGAAGCATTCTTAAGTGGATTGATGCAGCTGCCAGTCAGGCCGGGCCAAAAAGAGCCTCCATGTTGCGAGTCATCGGCTTGGGTAGTGCACATCCCGTAGTTTTGGCCGGACAGATGCCATGGATTGATTGCAATTTTTTATTTCACTTCCACCGAGTGAGATGCGGTCTGCCTGGAAAATTTCTATTGAATCACCACGACGCACACCTGAACCAGGCCAGTGCACTGCCTCATTGTGCCGGCGAGTCAAGCTCTTCATGCCCCAAAAATGCCAGACCAAGAGCAGTAAGAGTAGTAGTAGCAGTAGTAGTTGCAATTTTAAGCAGTAGCAGTCGTAGCAGCAGTAGCAGTAGTAGAAGTAGTAGCGGTGGTAGCAGTAAAAGCAGTAGCAGTAGTACTACTAGTAGTAGCAGCAGCAGTAGTAGCGGTAGTAGCGGTAGCAAGTGGCGGTAGTGGCGGTAGCAGCAATAGTAGTAGTGATGGTGGTGGTCACGTAGTAGTGATAGTCATAGTGGTAGTGGTAGTGGTCGTGGTGGTGGTGGTGGTGGTGGTGGTGGTAATGGCAGTGGCAGTGGGAGTGGTAGTCGGTAGTGGTA